TGGGGGGGGGGGTAAGCAACGAACGGTGCTCTGCGTGAGAGAAAAAGAGAAGAAGCGGGAGAGGGAGAAAGCGACGGGAAGAATGACGAGGCGGAGGAGGGCGAACGGTGGGCCGAAAAGGGGGTAAAGAGCACCCTACGCGGATCAAAGGGGGTACTCGATGCGCGCCCCGGTATTATTTCATCGAACCACCTTGCGACGCGGCGCGGTGCGACCGAAGCCCACAGCGCAGAGGCTGGGGTCGAGCCGAACCGATCGTCGCCAGGCGTGCCGATCGCGCCATGTCGGCGTGGGCATGCACGACTCACCAGCTCCTCGAAGTTCTGAGTGTGCACATTGCCTTTCCAGTCGAGTCGAGACGGTAGAACCTGCGAACATAGAAAGCGCGATCTAAAATCTATACGGATCGATCGCGCGACTATAGAGGGTTAGATCCGATCGATCGCCGTGGGGGAGGGCAGAGGGGGTGAGCGCGATCGGCCGATCGCCAATGCACGCGAGAGTGACCGATACGTCTCTCTCCCGGCCACCAAGGTCAGCGACCTTGAGATTCTAATGTTTTGACAAGCAGAAACCACGTGCTAGCCATGTGGCCCGCCGCTCAGTACGCGGTGTCGGGCCCGCTAGTAACGTTCGACGGAGCCACTACGGCCGCCGATCGCGGCTTACCTCGGCACGCTCCAATTCCCGCTTCAGCACCTGAAAGACAAAGCGCGCGTGAGATCTCGTGTGCGGCGAGTGCGGATTGTGCTCGCGACGAGTGCCACACTTACCGTCGCCGCCTCCAGACACGGGCCCGCCGCCAGGAACTTAGCGATCAGGAAGTACAGCTCTGCAACGGAGAACGCTTTATAGAAGCATGGCATGGCACCGCGGCACACGCTCGCACGGCGTAAGTCGCGCGCGGGCGCGTTACGTTACCTGGCACGATCCCGGACTCGTTCCTCGACACGCTCGCCTCCATCCTGATCGATTGTACGTTCACTCACAAGCAACGGCGAACATCGGCCCCGCAGCTCATAGCGCCGCGTTAATCACCACGGACTTGGTTTTCTCTCACGAGCCAAACCGAGCTGACTCCAAGCCGCAATACGCACGCACACGCTTCTCGACACAAAGTAGTCCCTCAATGGCCGCGTAGCGCAGCCCCCCCTAGGCCAGGTGCGTAGGTAGTGCTGCGCGGCGCCCGCCGTTGTCGCTCGTGTCGTCTCGGGATTTCACGCTTTCCCGCGGAAAATTCGGCAATCCCTCGGCGACACGAGACCGTCCGTCACCGTGACTTCAGATGCCGCTGAATTTACTAAAGAGATCTCGCGTCTGCACGCGCAGTCACGGAAAAACATGGCGATTGGCCAGTTCGCCAATTGGCTAAGTCACCACGCATTGGTGAAACGGTGAATCCGCCATTGCACGCGGCATGCTTGAAAGCCTCTCGTGACAGCAATTCAATTTGCGAACTCGATCGAGGTAGAATCATGTTGTCCTACTTTATTTGATAAACCATCAGCTATCCAAATATAACGTGCACAGATGGGTGGGCGAAGTTTACGTGACTTGTCGATGACACCTCGACAAGTCAACAACGAGCTTGTCGTGTTGAGAGATCGAAGTTATTGGCGAAAAATATTCGAAAACACTTGTTAACCAAGCTGCGTTAAATTGTGTAAGTAATTGTGGAAGTTATGTATTAAAGTTACACTCGGCGGAAATTTCTTGTCACTAATATAGTACATGCCGTTGCGCACTTCTAATATCTGCAATTATCGCGACGCGACCGGCTAATGATCGCAATGCAAGTCGAAATTCATGTAAGACCGCGTGAGACCGAAAAAGACCGTACTCCGAGCAACGTACTGCAACGACGCTTTCTCCCGTTTGTTGAAAACTGACATCAATTCTCGTTTCCTGGACATTCGCGGGAATCTCGCAGAATACTAAAATGGGAGCGCGCTTGTTGTTAGAGACAGTTTGCTCTCTGGTCGCGATCGCTAACGTGAACGTGCAAAGAGACGAGAGAAAAACAGAAAAACGGATGAGAGGCGGAAAACATGCATGACGCCTGCGGGCGCAGTTGGGGAAAACGCGGGGCCTGTCTCGTGTACATGTCGCTGCGCACGCATCACGTTCCTTGCGTCATTTCGCAAAGTTGCATTATAAATAATCGCCATTCGCGCAATGCCATCCTACTTTTCTGCGCTTCTACTTCCATTGCTATTTCTATCCTGATAACACGACACGACGCGACGCGACAAATTCGCGTCCCTCGCGTGCCAAGTGACACGCCAACATGGCGGCCACGCCCGCCTCAGCGTCGTGCGTGTTCGATGCGATTGCGTGCGACCGTCGCGCGAAAAACGCGTGACGTCCCTATGCAGACATCGTCACGTCGATCACGACGCCGACCGCGCGAAAATCGCCGTTGGGGAACGTCAGCGTTTACCGACGACCCCGAGCAGAACAAGTAAAATGACTGTACAAAGTTGCGGCATGAGCGAAGTACACGTGCGATAACACGATAGGAGAAAGAAAGAGAGAGAGACAGAGAGAGAGAGAGAGAGAGAACTTCTTCGCGCACAAGTGTCGGAGATGAATCTCGCGTTTCGTTGAGGAATTCTGATCGCAGTAGGGCCGGTGTGAAGAACGACGTTTCGACGTTTCGACACTCAACGCGATAACTTCTTATGATGTATCGCCGTGTGCAATGCAACGTATGCAACGTGCATAGATAAGATAGACAATTAAGATGCACGCGACGACAACATATCGCGATAGCAACGTTTTAACTTGGCCATGAAAGTTAGACAATGACTAATTGTTTTCCGCGATATCATTCGTCATGCTGCCGTGTACTTTCCAAAATGCCTATAAATATTCGACAGCTTGCCGGTAAACAGTGATTGTCGAATGCTTCGCGGCAAGTACGACGGTTGGCGGTAGATCAGTAGTAGATCATATCTTCGTACGTTCTTGTGAATGTCCCGAGGGTACAATGTCGTGGATCAAGGAGCGCACCTTGCACTGGTTTCAATTCTTCTGCTTGAAGATTATAAGGACTGGTTATGTGCCGAGACATGTGGCGTTCATAATGGATGGTAATAGACGTTATGCAACCAAGAAAAATGTAGCCAAAGTGGAGGGACATAAGCACGGGTGTGTACTTTTGACTGAGGTTCTCAAATGAGTTTAATCTCTCATATACTTTGTATTTAATTTTTATTTCACTCACAACAGGTTTAGAAAATTGACAGAGACGTTGAACTGGTGCATGGATCTTGGTGTTAACGAAGTGACGATGTATGCTTTCAGCATAGAAAACTTTAAACGTAGCAAGGAAGAAGTTGATGGACTTATGCAACTTGCTAAGCAAAAGTTTGAGGCTCTCTTAGAGGACAAGTATGTTCAAATGTTTCATAAACTATATTACAATATGCATATATATATATATATATATATATATATATATATATATATATATATATATATATATCTTCAAGTATGATCTTTTCAGGGATAAGTTTATGGAGTATGGAATATGTGTCCGTGTGATCGGCAATTTGTCACTGCTTGCAGAAGACTTGCGTAGAGCAATTGCCCAAGTTATGGTCATGACTAAGGACAACAATAAAGTATTTCTGAATATTGCTTTTGCTTATAAGTGTAAGTGAATAATTCTATTATTTGCACTTGTCATAAAAATCTTTTTGTATAACAAATTGAAAAAATATATTCTAATATTTTCATAGCAAGAGATGAAATTACCTATGCAATTAAGGATGTTGTGAAAGGTGTGAAGCATAATGAGATTTTGTCAGAAGATATTAGCGAAGATCTGATCTCTGAATGTATGTACACCTATAATTCTCCAAATCCGGATTTATTGATTCGTACCTCAGGAGAGACCAGAGTCAGTGACTTCCTCATGTGGCAGGTGAGAAAATACATATTCCACCATTGTGTTTTCTTCCTGCAGATCACAGAAGCAGACTGCACACTTAAAATAATTTGACCTGAATGATTTCAGATCTCTGACACTTGTGTCTACTTTAGCAATGTATTGTGGCCAGAATTCAGTGTGTGGCATTTCCTCAGCGCCATTTTCTATTACCAGAGATGTTATCCCGACTTACAAAGATTCGCTGAAATGCAGAACTCGGGCCCGGTCGGGCACAACAATAGAGTATCTACATATGTTGACAAGTTGCATCACGAACGTGAAGTTATGCTTGAAAATATGTGCCTACCAGCAGTTCAATCATAAGAAAGAAATAGACACTTGAGATAGAATGTTATATATTCCTGTAAGTACAAGTATCAATCAAACATATACCGAGCAAATGTTATATACATATATATTTTACTTCAAGTCAACTTGTCAGGATAACATAATTTATTGTTATTATCAATGTATAAAATTCCTGGATATATAATTTATGGATATATTATTATGCACATAGCGGAAATCGATCAATGATGTATATATATTTATACAATTCAAAAGTGTATAGTTATATAAAAACTAGTCGAACAATTAGGTAAAGTCAATTGTGAAAAGATTAATGTTTAACATTTATAAAAGTATTTTCTATTCTGACATGTTTATAGAATTACGAGCTCAGGGAAATAATTATAAATAATCTTCCGTCTATGTGCGAGATCTAGGAAAAACAAGTATGTAATATTTAAGAGTGTAAAAGTAATGAAACATAAAGACATTATAAATCCGACGTTTCGAAGGATGTTCGAGCAACGCAACAATTGCGAACATTTTTAATTTGAACATTTCTCTTTCATATTTTTGCTAACATGACACAAGTATGAGCATGACATGTAAAATAGATATGTTCTTATGAGTAATTTAGATAATTGAAAGAGATAATATACGTAAATATTAAGCGATCGTTGAATGATAATTACCGATAAGAAAATTACTTGTATATTGTAAAGGTTATATGGTATTAACGAAAAAATATCGACATTGTTACAACGGGATATTTGTTTTTTGAAATATCTCGAGCACAATTGTAGATATACGTGAGATTTGCTTCCATAATGTGCTGTAATTATGTATTTTACCGTGCATTTATAAATTTATTCATTGCTGTGTATGTACATTCCATATACCAATTTTCCAATTATTCTTTACTTGAAGAATTTTTTCTGCACACATTATAGAAAATTGATTAAATTGTAAGATATGATAAGGAGAACATGATGATGTATCAAATAAATAATGTATGTAACATTAAAGTGTGGGGCTATAAAGACAAATATAAATAAATATATATGTATATACGATTTGAGTTCATTATATTATATTTATATATAATATGTATATCTCTCTTTCTCTGTAAGGTCCAAAATATGTGTATAGCAACATGTACATTATTTACAATAGATTGTTTCCTTAGATATTATTGCACGAGGCAGACAACAATGTTTATGGACATATGTATATATAACGTTGGTCACTGTCAAATTAAGTATCAACATTGTATACAATAGAACCGATGGTAGTTCATCGTCGACACAATTAAAATAATCATGGATGGAATCGGATTTGTTCATAGACATTATAAGATATTCGCAACGCTCCACGCAATATTCCCATTTTAATTATATTTCTATATTTACAATTTGTGCTTAATATACATCCTTTGTTTTTTAGCCCAAAACGAAAATTAAATAAATATGGTATATTTGCGATTTAAATATAATTTTGAAATATGCTAAGATTTTCTAACTATTAAAGAAATGTTCATATTTACTTTCTTTTAAATACATATTAAAGGTACAACAAAGGAACATACGTTGACAAGTATCTAATAAATTAGAAAATTGTGGCAGAGGATCCAGAGTAAAAGCTAGGCACATAGATTACATAGGAAGACAAATAACGGAATTAATATTTAAAAACAGTATGCAAAAATTAAGGATAAATTGCCAAAACTTTAAAAACTAAAAAAAGATGAAAAAATTAAAGATTAATCTGTATTGTGTGTAAAAGTGATCAACAACAATTTGACATTTAGAGTCTGGAGTTTAAAAAAAATTATTTCACTTTCAAAAGTAAAGTCAGGAATGATAAGATAAATAAATTATAAAAAATGTTAAAGTAAAAATATGTTATTCAACTGTACCACATATATATCCACCGTTTTTATGATTTAGAGTCTGGATGAAAAACCGTTACATTGACTTAGAGTCTGGATGAAAAATCATGTCACTTTCAAGCATAAAATCAGGAATAATAAATAAAAGAAATAAATTGTAAAAAATGTAATGTTAAAGTCAAAACACGTTATTCAACTCTCTGTACCACATATATATATATCCACCATTTTATACGCGAAATATTGACGTATTTCTAATCTTCAGTGACTATACAGATAATGCATCCTTAATAACTTACGTCCATGATTCGCACGTGACATTGTCCGCAGTCTTTACGGAAAATTACAATCCCAAAAGACAAAGATACATAATTTTTGCTTCGTGCCGTTCAATTATGTTTATATCAAAGTAGATTGAATTTGTAAAGGGAGTAATTGTAATCAGAGAATAACGTACGATATTGTGATACCTGAATACCTGAACAAGCGTCGTTAATTAGCGCTTTGAGATGAATGTTAAACGAACAGCCCGTTAACGCAATGTATTCGCAATTGATCCACCATCACATTACGAACAATTTCGTTTGTAAAGCATCTCATTTAGCGTCTCGTCATGTAATACGTCATGTAATACTAAAAGCGAGAAATCGGCTTGCGAGTCCTCTTATTTCGAATTGTAAGGCGAATGACGCCTCGCCGAGGGCTGCCTCTGCCTGGCTAAGAAAGAATGACCCTGTCCGGAACTGAGCGCCGCGAGCCGCTGATCCACTACGTCTCTGTGAACGGACAGGGCCAGCTTGTAGAAGGCAGATACCATCATCTTCTCCTCCAACTCCCGCAGCAACTTGGTTTCCTTCACGGTGCGCTCCATTTCCTCCATCATCTTGCGTTGCTCTAGCAACTGGCTGCGCAGCACAGCCTCGTTCGGGGAATGGCTGTGCTTGGAAGACTCTAAGCTCTTGATGACGCTCTTGGCCTTCTCGACGTTCTTCTTGTAGTTCTCCTCGCGCGCTGCGTCCTCGTACTCCTTGCGGGTCAGCTTTTCCTGAAGGGCCATTGCCTTCTGCCTCTGCACCTGCAGAGCGGCCTCACGCTCCTCGAGCTGTAGTGTCAACCGCTCCCTCTCCGCTTGCGCCTTTCGCAGCTCGTCCTTCAGCTGCGCGAGCTTTTGCCCGAGACCCGTGGCGTCGCTCTTGCTGTCGCCGTTGGATGACTGCGTCGCGCCGCTGATCTCTTCCAACTTGCCCTCCAGCTCCATTATCCTCTGATTCGCCTTGCGGTTCTGTTCTCGCAACGCGTTCAGACGCTCCTCCGAGTCGTCGAGCAACGCCTGCACGCTCGGCAGCTTCTCCTCGTTGCCCTTCTGCCGCGCCTTTAGCATCTTGTTCTCCAGCTGCAAGCACAGCAGCTTCTCCTTCACTTCTAATGGGATCATCTCCGTACCGGCGACGCTGTTGCTGTCGACGTTGCTGGGTTTCGCCATGTTCTCGGCGGCTTGCAGCTGAGCGCACTTGAGCTCCTCGTTCGTCTCCCTCAGCGCGTCTCTCTCAATGACCAATCGGTCCCTCTCGCGTTGTAGAGTGTTCATCCTCGCCTCCCTCTTTTTGTCGTCACACACCAGCCGGTCATACTTGCCGCTCATCTCGTCCAGCTTGTGCTGAGTCTCCGTGAGCTGCTGCTTGCAGGCTTCGAAGTGGTTCCGCAGCATCGTCGTGCGCTTCGTCTCCTCCTCGTAATCTAACTTGGCTTGCAGATACTCAAGGTTCTTATCCTCCAATATCTTCACCTGCCTCTTTAAGTCACCCATGTCCTCCATCTTCTTCTTGTACGACTCTATCGTGAGCTCATACTTGGCCACTTTGTCGACGGTCTCTCTCAAGGCGTCCACCTCATCCTTCAAATGATTGGCTTCATCAGCAGCCTTCTGCAGATCTTCTTGCCTGGACTGCAGTTCCAATACTTCCTTCTCTAGCAGTTCTACTTTCAATCTGTAATCATCCCTGGATGTCTCTACCTTAAATAGCTCGTCCTTGAGTGCCTCTGCCTGCTTGCGCAGACCAGAATACTTGAGGATAGAGCCAGACTCCTCTGGATTCTCAAATTCGTCCAGTCGTTCTTGTAGCTTCTTGTTCTCCACCATCAGCGCAGCTTTCTCCTCCTGCAACAGCGACAACTGCTGATCGAGTTCGTGGCACCGCTGCGCCAGCTGATCCTTCATATCCACCGCTGCCTGTAGCTCAGCATACAGTCTCTGCTGGATACCATCAGCCACATCCATAGTCTCAAAGTTCAGACTAGTGCCTAAGCTCAATCTAGGACCGTGGACACTGCTCTCCAACTCCTGAATGCTCTGCATTATTGCCTGCTGCACAGTCTCCTCCATACCCATTATCCTGGTAATATACTGCTGCTTTTGGTCGCAATTCACAGCGCAGCCTAGAATTAGCTGCAGCAAACGGCGTAGCTCATCAGTGTCGCAATGTTCACCAATCTTGGTTGCGTCTGGCTTGATGTAACCAGACAGCTGCTGATTCAAGCACTCCACATAATACTCCATCACAGCCTCCACGATCTTCTTCATGTTGCTTACCCTCAGACGCCAATTGGCAGCCACATCGGTCTTGATCTTAGCCTTCCACACTGCCGTGAACCATTCAGGCGCGATTTGGGCTAAGGCCTCCGCCAACGCAACCCCGTCGCTTATATCCTCTGCGGAGTTGTGCGGCGCTTGAAGGTCAAACGTGTCCAACCATTTGATTAGATTATTCAGCTGCTGCTGCTGCTGCTGTTGCTGTTGATCTCCCATGTTGCTCCTCCGAAGAGAAAGAAAGAGAGAGAGAGCTGTTCGACACGCGTTCGATTTTTCGCTTTGTCAATCCTCACAAGAAAAGGTATTCTTGTAAATGCAACTCGTATTCGCATACATAATTCAAAAAGTTCACTCGCCAAGTCAAACACGACACTGCAAGCTCAACGAAGAGGAGAATTCTCGTAGACCATCTGTCGGCAGTCTGCACGAGCTAACCAAAGACTCACCTACGCAGTTATCATCGCGCCCCGATACGCGTGGCGATAAAATATTATCAAAGCGGAAGTCGTGAGATTGCAGGTACCGCCTTGGACAGCAACTCCCGTACGAACTCCCGATAATCCACACCGTAGCACATATCAATCAACAAAGATATTGCTCGGGCTGGCCATTGCTCCGACGTTACGCGCTAAAGCGCATCGAATTCATCGCGTTCGCTTCACATACGCGTTGTACGAACATGTATGACGTTTAGGAGATGAAAACCCGACGTGAAATATTAATGTTACGCTCGCCTTTTTCTTCTTTTATTCCTTATTGAATCGCCAAAGGCGTGAATTACATCTGTTTTGTTCTAATTGCAGTAGATAAAGATTTGTTTAATCTATCGCTGAGTCATACTACTTAAAAATCAAAATGTCCATTCGCTATTAAATCGTACTACTTGAAAATAAAAAAAGTTTCTAAAGCCAATATCAGACTATAGATTAGAATTGAGATTGAATTGAAATTTAGCCAATCAGAGCAAAATACACTAAGCTCAAGTTTGGTGAACTTTGCTCTGATTGGGCAATTCAATCTCAATCTTAATCCGTAGTCTGATACGGGTTTAAGCCTGCATTGCTTGCTACCAATGGCTTGGTTTACATCGTGCACTTGATACGCGTACTAAATAGTAACTTTCTACTAGATAATCTTAATATCAATATATATAAACAACGGTATATTAAGCTAGTATAATACTCATCAAGCAAACGTATTGTATTGATTGAACACGTCGCCGTTGATATGCATTGTCAATATTAAGATTACCTAATAGAAAGTTACTATATAATACGCGTATCAAGTGCACGATGTACCAAGTCGATGACGTATATATATAGACCAAGCATTCCTATACTTCTGCTGTAACAGCGAGTGAAGTCGGAGGTTGGCAGTTTAAAACAGAGTGAGAAAGTTGATTTGCCCCTAGTGCTTTCTCATTCTATCGTATAGAAAGAATATGGCCACTGTCAAGCTGTTGTAACGTCCGGACTTATTTTGAAACATTAATAATATATTAATATAGATCGGAGGCCGACTTGTCTGATTTCAGACATCACTAGATATTTTATCCCTATGTTACTAGATGTAAGTATGTGAGCATATATATATTCGCGCACATTAAATATTATAATTAAAATTATAACGCTGAATACTGCGTGTCGTTAGAGAGTCTTAAAATCGATGGATCAACTGTAGACAAAAGAAACCGTAATCGCTCAATGCGATAAGGCGTCCCGCTAACATAAACAGGAGCATGAAAACTGAATCCAAACACCATTCAGGACCGACGCGGCGATATCGACGCGATGACATCATACCGATGGAATGAATTTCTTCCATCTCCATGACTCCATCAGCTAACCAGAAAACGACTCTCAGCGACAAAGCGACATATAAAAACGCGCGCATTTGTTGAGAAAGCGATTATTTTCTCATAATTATAGCATGTTTGACTGGCTCTGGGTTAACCCACTCTGGGTTATTCAGCCTACGTTTATTGGTCAAACAAATACTTATAAGCTTTATGATTAGCTAGTAAAGACTTATGACGTCATTAATCGCTCTCGGAGCGATTAACCCAGGGCCAGTCGAACACGCTATTAGTCTCTGGTAATTCTCGTGTACTTATTTAGAATATATTAGTCGTAAAATCCGACTGTGTAGCAATTACTTTTGCCTACACTTCATTTTTCGAACGTTGCGAAGTCGAAATTCGGAATCGCGGGCCGCATCATCCCGCGCAGCGCCGGAACATCCGAGACCGAGCCAGGAGAACGAGCTGATTTCTCGCCAGATTCATCAATCGTTTCGCCAGACTCCGGAGACCCAGGGTAAACTCGGTGAAAAGCAGAGTGACCCAAAAGCGGAGTCATCACTCTGTTGACCGTCCACGTATGTGACAGTTGAGCTGAAAAGTTCGTAGGCTAACATAGTAAAACTCATTTTTTTGGTAAAATTCGATTTTATTATTCAACATATCTTCCACAGCAGCGCTTGAGATCGATATTTCGGCCAAATACATGATTTTTTAATATTTAATTAAAATTATCTGGATGACTCACAAACCTTTTTAATGATACTTCATTTCTTCATACGAAATACAAACGATACCATACCAAACCTTTGTTTAATTTACTTCCGGTCATTATTTCCGGCTAAATACACGGTCCAAAAAAGAACAATTAATTACAAATAATAGAATGACTCACAAATCTTTTCATTTGCACTTCAAAACTCTTCATATAAAATACAAACGATTTAAAAGAATAGTTTTCCAACCGGAGTTTTTTTTCAGGTCAAGTGTACAACGCACTTGTTCCAATGTTTTCTTTGTCAATGTGCGACAGAAAAAAATGAAGTTCCTTCGTACGATAGGCCCTGTTGAGTTCCACGCGATTCCTCGCCTCCGAAGAGGCACGCCGCTACACATAGTAACTTTAACCAACACCTTCATCACGAAAGATCAGCCGGAGCTTTCTCTTTTTTATTCGTAATAAGTGGCGCGAGGCTAACAAAAATTACACTACGGTACTTTCTACAACGGGTCTAGAGACCTTCCTTAGAGCGATAAGAGAGCCACTATAAGGATTCCGAATGAAGCTCCGTGGTGTCACCCGAAAGAATCTCGAATCGCTTTAAAGGCCAAATCACACTAGCGATTGGCGATTGACGATTGACAATTATAGATTAGATTTTAACGAATCAACAAGCATCAGCATTAGCTTGTTTTGTTCCAATTGGTCAAGTTCCAATCTTCAATCGTCAATCATCTATCGCTAATCGCTAGGGTGATACGAGCTTTAGGCTTCTCTCTAGGTGTTTTCCAGGGTTATGACTCCTGCACACGGGACGCGGTAATGCTTGCCATGCGGCGGAAGTTCGCGCGACAGCCAATTAATATCCTGCATTCCGTAATAACCTTCTAG